CATCTTTTTACATTTAATTCGTGTTTATGTCCACATGGTCCAATTTTACATTCCTCCATTCTTCTTTTTTATCCAGCTTGGCAGCTTAGGCATAGCCAATAAACGACGTCGTTATCTCTGCCTGAAAAGTGAAAACCCGAACGCTTTCTGAAACTGCAACTAATTTCGAAGGAAAGCAGTCTGCGCGCTCTGTTCAGTTTCCATGGCGGCGGCGGCATTTTCTTCGTCTGCTCCCTCACCAACTTCTCCTTCAAGACTTACCAATGTTTCTTCTTCATCTTTACCCTCCTCACTCTCACTTTCTAGGGATTTCCACAAAGCTCAGTTGCAGGCCCAATTTAAATCGTCCCCGAGAAGAAATCTCTGTGTCTGCGCGTCCTCCCTCCCTCCCAGCGATTCCGGTACACCCTTTTCTTCCATCCATGGATAATTCCCAAGCTCGAATGTGCTGAACTTTTTCTCGATTTCTTTGTGGGATGCCGCTTCTATTTATTGTTTACTTCCGTGTTCTAATGATTCCATGCCCTTCCATTCGAAGTCGTCACTCTGCTCGATTACGGAGCTGGCAATGTCCGTAGCGTCAGAAACGCCATTCGCCATCTCGGTTTTCAGATTAAAGATGTGAGCTTTTCAATTTCTATTTGCTCGATGTCGAACAATTGGCTTGTTCTTATAGTGAGGAAACTAACCGATAAGTGTAAACAAAACTTCAGGTGCAAACGCCAGCCGACATTCTGAATGCAGACCGGCTCATCTTCCCCGGTGTGGGGGCATTTGCACCAGCCATGGATGTGCTTAATAAGACTGGGTATGTGTGTTTCAAAGTCTTCCGCAGTGCATTTGTTTCTAGGAAAATCTTATGATTTGGAGTTCAGAACTTGATTTGACTGAATTCTGTGTTGGGGGTTTAAATTTCTCAAGGGTAGTTGACGATTTGTCTTTATTTGTTTGTTGTGTGATTGATATCTGCAGAATGGCTGAAGCTCTATGTGCATACATTGAGAAGGACCGTCCATTTCTAGGAATCTGCCTTGGGCTTCAGTTACTTTTCGAGTCCAGCACAGAGAATGGTCCAGGTCAGTTGGGAACTCCGACCACTTGATAAAGCTAGATTCTTTTGGAGCGTATGAGTCTGCAACAGCAACTGTTTCTGTCTACTTTACCATTTTGGTTTAGCAACCTCTTTTGTTATATTGGATTGTCCAGTGCCAAGCTATGATATCGATTAATACATTCAATTGCAAATTGTGTGTATAGATGTTCGGGGGAGGGGCTGTACTTCTGTGAAATAGCTTGTTGAAAGGAAAATTAAGGAAAAACTAGTATACATGTGGATGGAAATGAGTCCATGTACAATAATGATGTAGTTGAGCCGCGTATGCTTCTTTCCTATACTCAGCTTTTTAATATCTCTGGCTGCTTTCATGCTGACACAGTGACTGGTCTCGGCTTAATCCCTGGTGTGGTTGGGAAGTTTGATGCCACAAATGGGTTCAGAGTGCCCCACATTGGTTGGGATGCTTTGCAAATTGCTGAAGACTCTGAGATTCTGGATGAAATTGGCAACCGCCATGTGTATTTTGTCCACTCTTACCGGGCACTGCCGGTACCTTCCTGTTACTTTACTTTGTAGAATCTGTTGGATTGCCTGTTTCTTTCTCGTCGATTGTATATCTTTTGTTGCACCTCATATTGGGACTTAATACCGGTTCCTTATGCTTTGGCAGTCAGAAGAAAATAAAGAGTGGATTTCCTCCACTTGTAATTATGGCGACACATTTATTTCATCTGTCAGAAGGGGAAATGTGCATGCGGTTCAGTTCCATCCAGAAAAGAGTGGAGGTAACAAGTTTTTCTCATCTTTGCTCATTCCCTTGTGAGTCCAAAAGCTTCGAGACTTTTGCCATCTTTTTGCCCATCTTGTTTTGCAAATTGTCTAAGATAATTTATCATGGCTTGCTGACTACAATAGTGGTTGAATAAAAAACTGCAGATGTTGGTCTTTCAGTATTGAGAAGGTTCTTACTTCCAAAATCATTTCCGCCCAAGGTAGCTTATGACCTCTGAAACTCACTGCTGCATAATGTGCCATCTTGAATAACCATCTAACTATGTGCAAACTTTGTCTGAAGACAGAAGCCAACTGACGGGAGGGCATCAAAGCTTGCAAAACGGGTAATAACTTCTGAAACCAGCTTCAGTTAGTTATTTTTACACAGTGATGGTGGTTTTCTGTGAAGATGAATTGGAGGCAGTAAAACATTCATATTCTGGTTACCTTGTCTCTTTTTAATGTATCAAATGTGATATATCCTTTTTTGGAAACATTCTTTTTTGGAAACATTCTGGTTGCTGCGGTTCAGGTAATTGCTTGTCTTGACGTGAGGGCAAATGACAAAGGAGACCTGGTTGTGACCAAAGGAGACCAGTATGATGTTCGGGAGAATACAGAAGAGAATGAGGTATGATCAGGGGATTGTTTTATGAGTTCAAGAAATTGGTATGCGATATGTGGTGGACAGTTACTTGATCTAGTTAAAACAAACATCAGTACACTGTGGCTCACCAAGAATTCCCTTCCTGCGTCCTCGATTACCTTAGGAAACACTTTTGGTCCTGTTATGTTTTGTCTTGCAATTGAATTCTTGATGCCTGAAGATACTGTTTACTATGAAACAGATATGGTTACTCTTTTTCTATTCTAGCCAACTTTTCATGTCAATTTATGGTGTATAGGTGAGAAACCTGGGCAAACCAGTAGAGCTAGCCGGGCAGTACTACCTAGATGGGGCTGACGAGGTAGTAGTTATTATTATTTTAGAGTATTCTAATTATGATTCAATATTGAACTCGATCCAGTTCTAACCCATGCATGTCCAAACTCAGGTTAGTTTTTTGAACATCACTGGCTTCCGTGACTTCCCTTTGGGCGATTTGCCGATGCTGCAGGTTGGTTTTTGACCATCTTAATTGTGTGCAAATGAAGAGCTCTTTTTCTTCTTCTACCCTGAAGTGTGTCCACAACCCTCTTAAGTTATATCTGCTTAATGCATTTTTAGGTCTTGAGGAACACTTCGGAAAATGTTTTTGTACCATTGACTGTTGGAGGTGGCATTAGAGATTTTACCGATTCAACCGGCAAGTACGTTCGCTAATTGTACATGATAGACTTTGATTTTCAGGTATCTTCAAGGTATCTTCTTTATTCTCTTTCTGCTTTTCAGGTACTACTCCAGCTTGGAAGTTGCTTCAGAATATTTCAGGTCTGGAGCTGATAAGATTTCCATTGGAAGTGATGCTGTTTATGCTGCAGAGGAATACTTAATAACTAAAGTAGGTGATAACTACCGTACTTTATGCCGGCAAACAGTTTTCATGCATATATCAATAGGCTTGTTTATGCATATTTGAAAGATTCTTTCAACCGTCTGTAGGTAAAGACAGGAAAGACCAGCATTGAACAGATTTCTAGAGTTTATGGAAATCAGGTAATGTTTTCCTGGCTTGTATTTGTGGTAACCTGATTCTTTTCGCCTACATTTCCCGTATACAGTGTCAAAATGAATCTTTGAAATGGAAATTTTCCCTGAAGAAAAGAACAAAGTTTCTATCTGGAGTAGGCCTTGATATGACCCTAATTCGAAGAACCATCATCATGATCTGGCCATCATTTGAGGATTTTGCAGGCACTATTAGGATGCTTGTGATTGATTCCTTAGCATAGATTGTGATTTTCCCGGCTTAACTATATGCTTCATTCTCTTCAGTGACTTGAGCTGGTTGTTATTACAGGCTGTGGTTGTCAGCATTGACCCTCGACGAGTGTACCTTAGTACTCCTACTGATGTAGAGTTCAAGGCAATAAAGTTAACAAACCCAGGTGAAAAGAGAACATACTAATAGTCTTTCTACCTTATTAGTCTCTGTAAAACCATTCATAAAAAAGAAACGTCTCTTTACTAATGAGGTTGTAAAACAATGGTTTTAGGTCCAAATGGAGAGGAATACGCCTGGTATCAGTGCACGGTAACACCCTTATACTCCCAGCCCTTCTCTCAGGGGATTGATTGGTCTGCGCCGATGTGATTTTTCACGCCCCATTTTCGTACTTGTTCTTGAAGGTTAGTGGTGGTCGAGAAGGCCGGCCAATTGGAGCATATGAACTTGCCAAAGCAGTTGAAGAGCTTGGTGCAGGGGAAATCCTTCTGAATTGCATCGATTGCGATGGTGAGTTTCCACATCGCCTAAATTCCCTGTGATTTACGTATCGTTTGAAACCAGTGTATGCCTCTCTCCCGACATTGTCGCATAATGTTTTCCCCGCTTCCCATACAGGTCAAGGAAAAGGTTTCGACATAGACCTGATAAAGTTGATATCCGATGCTGTCAGTATCCCTGTGATCGCCAGTAGTGGTGCAGGTGCTGCTGAACACTTCTCAGAGGTGTTCAAGAAAACCAACGCGTCCGCTGCATTAGCTGCTGGCATCTTCCACAGGAAGGAGGTACACGCCTCATCATACAGTTTATCCCTCTGGGAAAGTGTCCTTCTTTGATAGATGTTCTGCCATAATGTTATGCTGAGGCCTGTTTTTTCCAGGTCCCCGTTGGGTCTGTGAAAGAACACCTGTGGAAAGATGGCATTGAAGTCAGGATCTGATATTCAAGAACTGCTTGCACCCCTTTGGAGATTTTTCAATGCTCTCCAGACCGGTTCGCAGGATGGCTTGAGCAACAATCTTTGTTTTCAACATGACTTGGAACAAGACTCCGTCACTCTGGGTTGAGAATAGTGTTATTGGACATAGCTGCTGAGTAGTTTGGCATCGTGTTTGAGGAATGACGGTTTCGTTTTCGCTCAAGTACATTCTTGACGTGCGTGAAGGGAACTGTTTGCCGCGTAATGGCACTTGATACTCGAAATGAAGATTGGTAAATTAAACAGAGTTGCAAGTGTCGGGGATTAGAAAGACAAACATTAAGCCCTAACAGCGGAATCACGACGGGTTAGGTCAAGAATAGTATTATTTATGCCCACCTCAATTACGGAGTGGGTATGGGTATTATCCGCTTCAAAACAAGCCGGGTAAAACGAGCTGGATCAATGCTGCATAATAGCACTTGATACTCAAAATGAAGACTGGTAAATTAAAGAGTTGTAAGTGCTGGGGAAAGACGAGCATTAGGTCCTGACCGTGGATTCAAGACGGATCAGATCGAGGATAGTATTCTTCTGCCCATCTCAACTATGGGGTATTCCGCCTAATCATGTCGGATAAGAGCTGAATTTTCATCCCTACTCGAGAATATCATTGTGCAAAACAAGAAACATGCACTTAAAAATGTTTACCAATGTCACTTACCGAGTTGAATACTCCATCGTATAAGCAGAGGCCAACAGGGAAAATAAATATTGAATCGCTACAAACCCGACTGTTCTTGATCCGTGACCAAGTCGTGGCAAAAGCCGCTACTGTACTGACTACTGAGGACAAAACTCAACTTTTATATGGGCCAACAAACAGAACCCTACAAAACTTTGCTCAGGTCTCAATGAAGTCTGCTGTTTATTCTTTCTTGTCAAACGAACCCCATACATTATCGGGGATGGAGGAAGAGAATTCACCAGTTCTTCAGCACCACCACAACTGTCTCTAGGTTTATGTCCTTAGACGTCAAGAAGCAGCCTGCGAGGATCCTCCACCACATCCTTGATGCGGCGCAAGAAGAACACAGCCTCTCTCCCGTCGATCAGCCTATGGTCATAGGTGAGAGCAACGTACATCATAGGCCTTGGGAGAACATTGCCTCCGACAACCATTGGGCGGCTCACAATCGAGTGCATCCCCAATATTGCAGACTGACCATTAAAAAAAAAACATGAGAACATTGTCCACAAAAGCCATGAAGTTGGCTGTGTATGAAATCTTCACACCAAATATCATCCATTGTTTCAACTTTTCCAAGTTAGAATACTGAACCTGAGGAGGGTTGATGATGGGAGTACTCAAAAGGCTTCCATACACACCGCCATTAGATATGGTAAATGAACCTCCTGCCATCTCATCAATTGAAATGGTCCCATCATTCGCCTTCTTTGCGAGGGTATTAATCTCCTTCTCAATATCAGCGAAATTCATGTTGTCAGCGTTGCGAATCACCGGCACAACAAGTCCCTGGAAGAACCCCAAGCAGAAGAAGGGGGAAAAAAAAGTCATCAGCCAGTGACAGGGATGTATGAACAAATAGAGCTTTCACAGGTAGAATAGATTAGAATAGATTATAGAATGTTTCTTCTACCATTAAAACTTGGGAAGACACCCTGATATAGACAACCACCTACTGCTAACATAAACCAGCAACACAAACAACCCTTTTTTTTTTTTGACAAAGATCACAAACAACCCTTGAATGGGACCTAAGCAGGGATGGGCAACGGGCAGGTTGGGTGGGTTTTGGTCTCAAATTGACCCACCCGCTTATTAGCGGGTTGGAATAAATGTGACCCGCAATCCACCCACATACTTCTGCGAGTTGGGTTGAGTGGGTGGCGGTTGGGTCGCGGATGAACCCGCAAAACCAATTCTCCATTTAGCCATTAAGAAAGTTGACTAACATTTATAATAATTTCATAGCAAATTAGCAAGATTGTATCAATAATTTGTGATTTTGATACAATTAATAATTTATAGCTTGCATCCCAATATTTAATGGTTATTAACAATAATCTGCATACCAATATCCAATATCTAATGGATATTGCAGAACACAATAACCAATAATAGTAGTCAAAACTATTATTTATTCTCCACCATTTGAAGTATATGGTCAGACTGTAGTGCAGTTCGAAAATATGATAAATATTCGATACTATAAAAAACAACATTTTTTCAGTAAAAATAGGATGTGGGTCATATGGGTGACCCGCAATCCACCCACCACCCACCCACATCAGTGCGGATGAGAGATTTACCAATCCGCAATCCACCCACATAAATCACTGACTGCGTGCGGGTCGGGTTATTTGCGGGTGGATCGATGTCAATCCGCGGATTAACCACCCACGTGCCCACCCCTAGACCTAAGTGCACTTCTCTATTAAAATTACAAAGAAATCTAGCAAGAATACAACTATACCAGAACCAGAGGGTGAATGATTTTACTAGTATAAATACACCAAGGGTCGCCACATCTGACCACCATTTCAGAGAAGCAAGATCCAGTTTACCACGAGGATCACATTTCTCAACGGTTTCTCGTCAATACTATGATGTATGATGCATCAACTCTACGGGGCCTTAAATGAAGAAAGCTTTAGTACTCCAGGCTGGAGCACACTACTGATGAAAAAAGAATGTATGATGTATCAACTCTACGGGGCCTTAAATGAAGAAAGCTTTACTACTCCAGGCTGGAGCAATATCAACAAGTATCACCATGGGAAGAATTACTAAAAATGTAAAGTATGCAGAACAACAGTTTACTCAATTAAGAAGATAAAGACAAACCTTTGGAGTCCCAACAGCTATACTAATGTCTATGTAATCTCTATATATGATATCATCCCCATCGATTACTGCATTTACAACAGGCTGATGCTGGAGTGCGGAGACTGCAGCCTGAAATATCCCATAAACAAGAAAAGAGGTAAGAAAGTGTAACATGTTGGGGAAATATATCTTTCAAAATTATCACATTCTTGCCTTGATGAATCCAGACATAAGCCCCAACTTCACACCATGCTTTTCATAAAAAGCATCCTTGTACTCAGAGCGAAGCTTCATCAAATTAGTCCTACAATAAGAAATTCAAGTTTAACAGGAATTCCGTTTGAGAATACAAAATACAAATAAACAGGATGGATCAGATGATTACTGTAGGAAGTGTTGGCATTTAAAATTTGAGGTGTGACCATAAGTAAGAACTTATCTTTATGTGGAAGGAAAAAGAAAGAATTTTCCTGGAATTATGAAAGGTTGAGGAATATACCCCCAATTTATCCTACCGTACGAGGACGGAGGTTATGCAAAACAAAGCCATCGGTTGATTTTGATTTTGAGCAGGGTAGAAAGGAGGGGAACCTAGTATGCACAGTACGCAGAATATTCCAAGAGCAAGAAAAAGGTAACAATTAAGAACCATAAAATTCTAGAAGCATTTGGTCGGTTGGTCCTACAGTAATCATCTGATGCACTTTCATTACAGTCCCAAGCCAAAAATCTCTGTACTGAGAGGTACTACTAGGCTGACCAAGAATGAAAATTAGACAGCTTCAGTCAACAAAATTATTGATTCAGTTAAACTAAATCAACTCACATATCCACTTCATTGAATGTTGTCAGCAAAGCAAACGTGTTTTGCGAGTCCTTCAATCGGGTGGCAACTCTTTTGCGAAGCCTTGTCATTGGAACCTGAATGAGTAGACGGCACAGAAAAAACCTCATTAGCTCATATACTTCCACTTCAGATCGTCTCCAGGAAAATTATATACAGCATGAACCAAAGAAAACAACTTACACGTCTTTCTCTATCCTTGGGGGGAAGCTGAGGTTCTGAAGCAGCTTGTCTAGGAGGTGATGTAGCTGGAGTTGATTTCTTGGGCTTCTCTGCAGCAAGATCAGGTTTAGGTGTCTGCTTTACCTCATCTTTCTTTTCAGTTGGCTTCGGAGCAGCTTTCTCGGGTATTTTTTCAGATGGAGCAACATGAGCTACTCCTTCACCAGACTTTGAAATGATAGCAACCTTAGTTCCTGGCTCAACTGTATCTCCTTCCTTGGCAACAAACTATCATACAGGAAATGATCATTAATTTCATAATCAAAATCGTCCAACTGAATTTTTTATTATTGACAACTGGGAAAGACAAAGATATATACCTCCTTTATCACACCTGCTTCCGGACTAGCAACATCAATTGTAACCTGCACAAGCAGAAATGCTATCAGCATTACAATGCAAATTTCAGGTTCTATCCAAAAGAAGGGATGAAAAAAAAGCCAAGAACAGACTAGAGAACAATACCTTATCTGTCTCGATTTGTGCAATGGGTTCATCGACTTCCACCCTATCCCCAGGCTCTGGAAACAGCAAATAAACAAGTAATCAGAAACAAGTGTCACATGCAATGAAATTACAAATCGGGACATACAAGTGCAAGACTAAGAAAAACATACGCTTCAAGAATGTAGCTAGAGTGCCATCAGTAATAGATTCACCCATGAAAGGTACAACAGCCTCAACCAAATCCGCTGCATGAGATAATCATTAAGAGAATGTCAGAAGAACTCAGATGAGCCACAACTTCTCTTAGAAAATGAGAAAGCAGAACAAAAGAGATACAACTTTATGGCATATCATTCAATACTTAGAAATATTGTTCCATATATCCAAAGCCGACAGCACTAACGCACAATAATCTCATTAAGAAACAGAACTGACATTGCACAATTCAAGGCATACTATGCTCCCATTGTCCAATACAAATGGTACCATAATTGAGGACATTGCTGGCTGGGCATGACATTAATGAATGCATAACCAGATGGGGAACAGAATCAAAAAGGGAGGAGTCAAGTTCACACCACTATCAGAAGAAAAACCCTTGCTCCAAATTTGCGTAGTGCCCATTAAGTGAATGGTTGAGAAGACATCCCTGCATTCAAGAACTGAACACTTCAGTAATAAAATAGAATTAGAGTGAACAGAAACTCAAGAATATATTTCATGACCAGCATTTAACTCTCCCTGTCTGAATTGTTTAACTAGCAAATCTAATTGTATGGAGGCAACATAATCTAATGACATCTAAATTATCAAGGACATTGATCCACTTCATACGGTTTTCTTATCCAGATATTTAAACACTTGTATAGACCCACTACAATACCGGTTTTCTTTTCTTAAAACATCTACAAGTAAGTTAATCGAAACAGCAGCACTGGAGTAAACAATACAATCACGAAGCCACAGGGAAATAAGGAATCTTGCTGATTGAGCAGCATGACATGAAATAGGCTCCCAAAGTCATATGTTATGTTATCTTTGATCTTTCCACAATAAGATGCATTCAGAATTTATTATCACGACACATCACTAAGTACAAAAGTTGACAGTGTCTCTAACCTTTTGGGCGTCAGACTAACTGTAGAACCTGTAACAGTAAAAAAAAACCCTTACATTCAGCATCCACCAAAAACAACCACCAACCAAAGGGGTAAGCTTAAAGTAAATATTACCTGGCACAACAAGGCGACTGTAGTTCCGGACATGTCCTAGTCCTCTTGGAGCAAGTAAAACCTGTTAACATGGTTGCAAATCAGATTTTCTTTACTTTTCCAACACAAAAAGATATGAATTCATTCATCACCCCGAGCAGCATGAGCCCCAATCACATGATTCAATAACAATTCGGTAACTTCTAACCCCATTCCCTCACATGGCATATTCAGTTACTCGGATGTCAACCCTAAAAACTGTTCATTCCTCAAATCGACATAGACAACAAAGACTAGGCTATGTCTCCAAGAATTAGAGAAGAGCAAAAATGGGACAGAACCAACAAGTACCTCTGTCTCAGCAGTAGAAGCAGCTCTCGGCGTAGACGCTGCAGGTCGAATGGTCTGCAGAGACTGCTTCAATATCTGACAGAAAAACGAAATTTCCACAAATCACAACAGATCGAGTAAACTCCAGATAAAGACATCCGAATATAAATGAATAACAAGAAGATTACGAATGTCCTAACCGAAGAAGACGAGCCTCTCCTCCTGAGAACGCCCAACATCGTAGCTTCGAATCTGCGCTTCGACAATCAGAAGAAACGACTAGACTCATCAGACGAAATTCTCACCGCTCAGAATCCATCATAAGGCCAACAGAACCCAAAAAACACTTTCAGACGCAACACGCACGCAACGCATAATCTTCAACATAACGCGATCGCAGGAAAGATTCGGGAAATGCTGAGAGGGAGCACGAACCTGTTAGGGGCCGACGGACGGCGGGCCTCTGACCGGAGGGAACCGAGAGGAATACGGAAGAGCTTGATGCCGAACGGCAAGTAGGGTTACCCTTTTGGGGCACAGAGAGAGAGAGAGAGAGGGACGAGGAGAAAAGGGAAGGGAGACGGTGGGGAAAGGTCAGAGAGCCGCGAAGCTTGGATTCTGAGCACGTTCCATCTCTGTGTAGAGCCTTCATAGGCCTTGCGAGTGGGCTACGTGGCAGTCCCCCATTGGATGAATTATTCTATTGTAAAAGAGACCATATTTCATGGTTGCCCAAATTGATTTTCCTTCCATTGTTGCGTTGAAATTTTGAGGAAAGTGAAGCGTAAGTTTAACATTAATTATGGAACTAGCTTTTTACCCGACCCGTTGGTCGGATGAATTTAGTTTTATTTATTATATTTTTATGTTAATATATTTTTTCATATTTTCAAATAATTTGGGATCGTCTAAATAATTTATTGGTGGGTTGAAACTAATATTTGTGCGAATTATTGATTGTAACATTAGTTAGTTTATAAGTATTTGTATTCATCGTGCTATCGCTTACTGTTGTCTATATATTTTTTACATCTAAGAAAAAAATCACTTCCTATTGTTAGAATAAATTACTTAAAAAATATTTCTTCATAAAATTTGATATTATTCACTTATTTTTCTATTATATCCATGAAAATAAAATAATTAAGCATTGAAGTATTAATTATAAACTCCAAGGGATTTTCCCTATTAGTAATTTGGAGGGATAAAAATTTATCAAATAAAGGATTCAAATTTTTATGGTCGACAACCATTAGGTACTAATTGAGAAAATACAAAATTATTAACTAATAATTCACTTTTAAATAATATATATCTCCAAAAGCAGTTGTGGTTGTTAATAGCTAACATTAATGTATACGGATAGTACAATTGTATTATAATGGACATATCTGAAATATTCCAATTATTTCTTCAAAATTTTAATTAAATAAGGCACTCTATAGTTCAAACATACAATCATTTGTTGTGAAAATTAAGTTTTTGAAAAAGATTCATGATTTTCGGAAATCAATATGGATTTTTTATAATTTATTTTGGTGTTGCCTTTGATATCTAAAAGTCAACACTTATAGATTTGTCTACTATGTCATTTGAAAGATTCTAAAAATTTATAACAAATATATACCACCAACAAATAAAAACTTTTTTGTCAAAAATTTGTGTGCCCATAAATTTGTTCTTAGCTTTGTGCTCGGCTTTTAGCTCGATAGTATAACATATGCTAAATTTACGACAGTCCTTGTGTCTGCCACCTATTTCATAGCATATTAGGTTTCGAGTATCCACAAATATTAGTACGCTTTCAACAATTATGTTTATAGTTACACGTATACTAACATTATGAAGTGAAAATTTACAACAATAAATAACTATACTAAAGAAAATTAATTAAAAAGAATATCATCCGTAAAGCTCAAGAATTATTAGTGAATTAGTTGGTAATCTATTATCCTCTTGCAAAAAAATGGACAATTACATTATGCTCATCGCTATTTTTGGAAGGTCAGATGATCAACAATAAAAGTCGGGGAATTTCAAGAAGATTCCCAAAGATGTTTCCCTCCCTCCGGGCAAATGATCGACTTTGTTTTTGCTAGTAGAGAATGGAGCTGTTATACCTGCATAAAACAATGTCTCTTGAAATAGTGTTTATTTTCAACAACTTGAATAATTCCAAATTGATTCATAGGTCAACGCGATCACATATTTTATTGGCGTATCTGTTGATCATTATAATTAGAAGCAACAAATAAAATGAAAAGCATAGTGATAAAGATGACTATTAATACCATAGACCGATAGACGCATCCCTCTTCGCTACTTTCTGTTGGCAACTACGGTAAAATAGAAACCTCTGGGCCTTCGAGAGACTATTGGCGCCGGCAACCCAGTTAGCCTACCAAATCCGGCAAATGCGAGTGCAGATTGATCAATCTTCCAGGAGGATTGGGCAGGTTCTCGGGGAGGCTACAGAGCGGGTGGAAAGGGGAAATAGAATAGGGTTTGAGATTTTCACAAAAAGGCTACAATTTCCCCTTTATTAGTTGTTCTGGGCGTCGCCCACCAAAGTGAAAACGCGTCTCCGAGTGCCCAGGTGCCTAGATCAATCGCCTAGAGCTAGACTGGGCGATTTCCTCCTGCCCAGCTATTAATCGCGCCTAGGCGAGAGATTAATCGCGTCTTCTTGAACACTGAATAAAAGTGGACCAAACAAAGACATTACATCCAACTCATTTCAGTTCCATCTTAACACAGTATCGAAGGCATGTACTATTATTATACAAATGATCTTACGCTCTCAATTAGGAACTAAACGAAGGTTAAATGCTTGATTGGCAAACTAAATCGATGAACCCAGTGATCTTAAAGAAAAAATTAATGATCACATGATTTCTTGGACCAAACTACTAAAGGAAAAAAGGAAAAAAGAGACCGTACATTAGCATAAGAACTCAACAAATTACTTATAAGAACTAATGACATAAGGAAAATGTAAACTCAAACCGTTCTTCCAAAGGTCATGGATTAAATCATTAGTTGTCGATTACATAGCCTAAACTGCAAGTTATATCCAACATAGAGGCAATTTAGAAACAAAAAAGTTAGATAAGAAAGCCGTGAAACACAGAAAAATTGAGTGAACAAAGTGGGAAGTATTGCTTTCAATTAAGCTTGATTATGTTGACATAAAGCAGGCACACATTGACGTTGGAAACCTAAACAAAAAGCTTAAAAAGTGGCAAGAGAATTCTTCCCTTGAGGTTCAAATATAGCCTACCTATATGAGTAGAGCCAAGTAATTACCATGATTCCATTTTACACATACCATCTCACAACCAACTGCTGCTAATGCTCTGGTCCATTCCAAACCTCACCTGCTCATATCTCCAATACCATATCACGAAACCAAGAATTATACACAACTAAAAGATCCAATAAGGAGAGTAACTTAGCATGGAACTTTGTGACGGGGGCAAATTCTATGGTCAGTATTAAGCTGTGCAAATTATATCACCTCTGCAAAGCTCACTACTTCCAGTAGTTTCTCACAGAACCAGCTACCGTCCTAATCCCTTCCTTCCTTCCTTCCCAGGGTCAGAGTGTGAAAAATGGCGTCCATCTCCGCCAAAACCACAGCTTCTTCCTTCATCCATGCATCTCTCCGTCGCAACCCCTCTCTAGGGGTTTCCTCCGCTCCAGTTCTCGGTGAGTACTCTTGACGCCCCCTCCCCTGAAATTCACAATTACCTCTGGCTTTTATCAATTCAGCTTGGGGGAACCAAGAAATTGAATCGATTGGGTGATATGCAGGGCTGCCGTCGATGGCGAAGAGAGGGAGAGTGGTGAAGTGCTCGGCGGAAGGAAACGGAAAAAACGGCAGCGGGTGGGAGAAGAAGGGGATGATGAGCGCTTCGCTGATGGCGGCGGTGGCCGCAGCAGCTGCGTCGAGCCCAGCGGCGATGGCTCCTCAACGGATGCGAGTAGCTGGAGCGATTTGTAGCGACCTTCTAGAGGCTGAAGCAGAGAAGAAAGAAGAAGCAGGGTTCGTGGCGGCGGGGGAGACGGTGGTGGCGGCGGCAGTAGTTGTGCTTCTCGCCGGAAGGGAAAGCCTCGATCGTCGACAACCTCTTCGCCACGGAGATAGTTCGCTGCACTCCCAAACGTGATCTCCTCAGTCGCAGCAGAAGCGGGCCGTCACTGCTTTCCGCCACTAACCACCAAAAAGTCTGGTCGTCTTCCCATGAACTTAACAACAGCCGGCCGTCAGCGCCTTCCTCCGCTGAACACGAAACCGTGACGCCCTCTTACCAGAATTTTCCGATGGAAACTGATTCTCCTCCTGTCCTGCGGGTAGGCGAAAGAATAACGTGGGAACCCAGTAGAAAAGGTGGTATTTCAGCCAAACGAAAATTAAATGAAAAATAAATAATAACTAAATGATAACGTGGGAAACCAGGAGAAAAAGGTGGGTAGTGGACGATTCCTAGTTCTGCAATCTGGCGGGGAGTTATATTTTTTTCCCGCTCAACACCCTGCCACATCAGATTCCTAAAATCACTCTATGGACAGGAAAATTTGAATGGGGGTGGCGGTTTTACTTTTCAGCTATAAATTATACTGTTGATAGGTTAGAGAATAAAATTTATTATATTACTAAAGATCAGATTTAATAATTGTAATTTGGTAGAGAAATTTAATAGTTTGTATTATAAAATGGTAAGAAGGGAAATTAGAGATTTAGTAGAGAGCTTATCTCATTCAATTTCATCGGGTTTAAAAAAAATTGTGTAGAAAGATAAGATTTTTTTATGCTCTACGAGTCATATCACGACGATATTACCATTAAAAGTGGTATGATGTTAATATGATAATCATATGATGTTGGTATGATGTCTTGTGTTTGACAAAATGATTTCATGATATCATATAATTGTCATATATATCATGATATTGTCACTATGGTACAATTATAATATCATAATATTATGATAATATTATGATGGTATGAGGTCTTATGTATTGACAAGATAATTTGATGACATCACATTGTCATGTATTTTATGCAGTTAGTATTACCATAATGGTAAGATCACGATATAACATATATGATAGTGATAATACTACAACCAATGTGTGTTTTGAAGATACATTTTTTCTCAAAATATAGCAAAATGAATATCAATGTGTAAATATTAATTAATGCGTCATTTTTATGTAGGGGTAGCAAAAATATCTGTAACCATGGATACCGCCCGAATACGGCCTAATCGGGTAGGGTAAAACCCGAACTCGAAGGACATTTAGTGGGTATGGGTAAAACCCGAACCCGAATATTTCGGGTAATGGGTGGGCATGGGTTTCTCACTATCCAACCCAAACTCGCCCAACTATACACATGCACATGTATTTTGTCTAGAAATAATCATTATTTTTCTCTAACATATTTTATATTTATCATATAAATATAATATTTTCATAAAATTGTGTTGTTTTTATTAATTCTTCATTCTGGTGAAGTATTGTCGTACTTTTCCTGTTACGTAATGTGAGAATACGTATGAATGTTAACATATTAGTTGGAGTTATGAAGAGAAATTATTACCCATGGATAACTGTAGATATCCGAAACCCGAACAGGTATGGGCATG